AAAAAAAAAAAAAAAAAACAGAAACAAAAAATTCTTTTTTTTTTCATTTCGATTTCTGTCCTATTCTAGAAAAAGATAGAGAAAGAAAATAGTGACCTGCTCAAAAACAGCATCTAGAAACTTGTCAACGTCACTGTTTTTACTTGGAATTTGCATACGACGAATTCTTGAAGACACGGACGAGTAATCTTTTGAGGACGAAGGTTCCTGATCTAAAACAAAATTTATTTAATTTCCAATGATCAAAGCTGATAATAATTTAGCTGATAATAACGACATATAAAATTAACTCATAAAAACCTAAAATTTTATTTTCTAGTCAGCAAATCTTAACTCGAGATGTTCGTCAAATCAGAAACAACAAAAATCGATACAAAATTGATGAAGTGCTGAAAGCTGACAGCTCTGACTCAGCAATTTACGCAGACAACGTTTTTTTCATTTTAAAAAACAATTGCAAAAACAAGTTTGAAAGTAAAGTGGCAGAAAGAAGTAGAGTTAGAAAGAACAATTTCAAAAGTCAAAAACTGTGAACGAGTAAATCTTTATAGATTAAACTAATCAAAAGTTGGTGAAACCACAGCTGTATTGCTCTTCAATTATTCAGGTTTATCAATGTGTGGTTCATGCAATGTGTTTTTAATATCTTACCTTTCAGGTAGTCAGAAGCAGAGGAATATGGGTCAACTCTTCTAGAAAATGTTTCTACGCATTCTTCTTGAATTACTTCTTGGTTTTGTGGTGTAAGTACTCGTTCCGGATTCTAAATAAGATAAAAATGGCAGATAAATATCATCAAACAAACGTCGCAAGCATAGAAAGCGAATTATCAAGAATTATATTAAAACAACATTTAAAATAGAAGCGTGACTTATGATTATGAACAACATTAAAAAACAATAAATTTTTTTTGCTTTATCCAAACATTTGACCAATAATTAACAAAAATAAAAACACTAATTGAACAGTGAAAAAAGATGGAAAATGAGGAGACAAAATCAGTGTTTTTCTTTTTATCAAGTATCTCCAACTTACGACACAATTAAGTGTACAGTATCATTCAGGTGCTTATATATTTGTCTAGAATAAAGTTATAGAAGTTTAAGGCGACAAATAGAGGGAATAAAATAACGGCAAGGTAACGACATTTTTGAATGAATTGTAATTTAATTTGGCCAACAAGTACATCAAAAAACTTTGGTAATGATAAAAAAAATTACATTTTAAAAACTTTTAACTTTATCAAAAATTATTGTGTAATTGAAACTGCACTTAAAGTGTCCCCTAAATTATTTTCTTACTAGTTTAGTGCAAAATACTGAACATTTTTCAATTTAAACAAAGTTGCAAGTGATAAACTTTCATCAACTGTTTTTCTTTCCTTTCCACTGACAATTTTAATGCGGTAAAATCACAGTTTCACATAAGTATTTAAGTTCTAAAAATTTTCAAATTTTTAAACATCCGGACTTGATCTTTCTGTAAGAAAAAAATTAACCCAATATTCTTTCACTAAAGTTAATTGAAAAAACATAAAGAAAAAATATTTTCCTAAAATTAGCAAATTATTTTTTATATCAAAAGTTATTTACATTGGCTTCGTAATTTCTGTCAGCTCTTCTTGTATCCTCTTCGTAGATAACTCTTTCGGAGTCTGCAAAAAAAGGGGTAACTTAAAAACGAGTGAGAAAAGATGACCAGACGTTTAGATCTTCAAAAGCACTCCTAATCCAACAGGAAAAGAAAAGTGTGTAAGGAAAGTTAAGGGTTAAAAACAACATATCTTTCAGAGCACAATACAACGCTTACATGGTTGCTGGGTGTTGTTATAAGTTCTAATTTCTGTAAAAATGGTTTCCACATATTTTGGCGCTATGCGATCATCGCGTCCGTCCTTGTCATCTGAATAGAAACCTTGATTTTGCTCCTGACCATGATTACCTAAGGTTTGGTAAGCCTGATTGTACGCATTTTGAATATTCTGTCTCTGCATTCCTTCAGTATGTATAGGTTTCCTTTGATTGTTGTTTTGCTCTTCCTGTTCATACCTCAAATCAGTGCGATTTGATCTCACTGCTTGTTCAGTTGGTCTCAACATTGGCTGCTGATTATTCTGAATCGTTAAATAACTTCTTGCTCTTTGACTTTGTTGTTCTGTTTGATTTGTGCCTTCAGGTCTTTCTGGTCTACACTCACTGTACGTCCAACTGTCAACAAAGAATCCTCTGTCATCAAAAAACTGCTGTGAGTCCATATTATACGTCGTAAAATTGTCAGTTGGACTTAAACCCCGATTGTCATTGTAATCGCGTTCGTCGTCAAATGCAGTTTTTCTTCCTTCAGCAGTTCCAGTGCTATAATGCCAATTTTCACCAGGTCGACTGTTTGTATATTCATGACTGCTGTCAAGACGGAAATGGTTCTGCGGCTGATTTTGGTAAGGTTGGTATCTCTCTTGACGGTCCAATACTCTGTTACTCCATTTAGCATTTTCTAACACATCACCATGGCACAGAGTTTCTGGAGGTACTCCCCTATGTTCACTAACTATTCGTATACCACATTCGCCTCTATTATCTGTATTAACATTCTCTTGACGATGTCCAGAATAACTTACGCGCTGACCGGCATAGTCAGTACTTGGACCAAAACCCGCGTTATTCACATCATAACTGTACTCATCGTTTCTCCTAGACATCGTGCTAACCGACCTTTCTTGGTAGTAACGCTGGTTATCATTTTGCTCGTTTTGTACAGGCACATATGGTTTTTCAGAACCAGAATAGTCGTACTGGCGTATTCTCGCGCAGTATCGCCCGCTACCTTCGCCCTGCTGTGGAGGGTCATCACTTCCACCGATGCTGACCGAGTTTTTGCTGTAAAAACGCCCTAAGTCCTCACCCTGGTCGCTGTTTTCAGATTTATTCAGTCTATTTTCCTGGATTATTTGTGGCTGCCTGTTTTGCCTTACAATGTATTCTCTTTCCTGAGGATTATTTTGTCTATTTATCTGTGTATCATGTGAGTATTCATCTTGTCTAACATATGGCTGTTTTTGCTGGTACTGCTCTGGTCGTCGATCTGTCTGTTCTGCGTGGTAGCTCTCCTCGTTTTCGCCACACGGTGTATCACTAAAACGAAGTTTGTCGGTTCGTTCATTAGGGGCATTGTAATATTGGGTGTTTCTTCGCGGTTCATAACCATTTCCATCATCCGTATACAACTGATCATTTTGTTCGACCTTGTAGTTAGATTGACGACTTTCAGAGTAGGACTTTTCATGTTGGCGCATTCCTTCACTGAACTGTGGCGGTACAAAAGATGTTGTTGGTAGCATGACAGGTATAAAGTGAACTTGTCCGGGCACAAGAGGCTGTAAGATTAAAAAATTTATATGAAAGTTGCAAAGGACAGTCGCTATGTTATTTAAACTTACAAACAATAATCAAGGGGAACCAGCAGTTTCAGACTGATCTTTAAGGCGGTTAATCCAGTAGAATTTCACTAATTCTCCAGCTCTTCTCTTAGAATGTCAATTTAAACTCACAACAGAATGTTGCTGAGGAATATAGGCATATTGTGGTTTCACTTCTTGACGACTAATCTCAGCAAACTCTTGTTGTTTTTGACGATATCGCTGTTCCTGAAGTTCTCTTTCAGCATTTGTGCTCTTGTCCTCTATTGTTTTGGTATTCTAAAAAAAAGGATTGGAAACTTGAAGTTTCTCAAAACAAATACAAAAAAATTTCAAAGTACGAAAAGAATAGAGCACAATATTACTTCTCAAGCATATGATTTGCAAAAGTTTAATAGCTTACACTTCCGACAATTCCGTAATCATAATTGTGTCTTTTGTTTTCGTCTTGTGGATGTAACTCTGCTGTAGTATACTGAATTTTCCCAACGTTCAAGTAAGGTTCTTCAGCTTGCTGTGGACGCATTGTATCAGCCTCGTATCGGATCACTGTAACCAAAATAAAAACTTAAAAATTAAAAATTATGACACTGTTTATTATATAATACTAAACAACTTCATTATTCGCAAATTATAGTCAGCAGCTTTAAAAGTTTTCTAGAAAGCATTTCAGTCTAATCTTTGAATCAGAGAAATAAGCATCTAATTTTTAAAGACGGCAGAGCTAAATTTTAGCTTAAGAAAGATTTTATTCAAAAGTTTAGATTCTAATAATAAAATGGCTGTAGTAAAAATGCACCGTTGTTATTTGTGCTGTTGACAGTATTTATTCTGTAGCCGATCAATGGGGACTTTTGCATATTCTCAAGTGTATCTTCCCTGAAATTAATTGAGTTTAAAATAGACTCGTTTATGTAGATTTAAAGACTAGATTAAAAGTAAGACAGCGTATGTTGAGACCGTGTACCTGCTTCGGCTTCGTTCCGGCAGTATGTTATAATTTCGATGAACAACAGCTTCATCATCATAATCCTCTGCCTTTTCCAAATATTCAGCTGTTGTATTTACTGGAATTGATTGACTCAATCCCGTATTTAATGGAGTATTCAGTAAATCAACCTATAAATTCGTTTACTCATCCAGCGGTAAATTTTAAAAAGTATTTTGATCTTTAATCGCTCACTTTACTGAACGGTTGGTTATCAAATACTACAAAGAACGTTTTGTTGAGGACTGTAGAAAGCTCCTGTTTCGAGTAGTTTGACAGCAGTTCACGTTGAGCAATCATGTCGTACAAGTACTGATTTTCGGCACAGTCTATGGTCCAATCTTGGTCTACGAGCGACACGCTCCATCCCTCAGGTTCTCCAATACCCCTAAAAGTCACTTTAATTTGCATTTCCAAAATTACTTTTTGGAAAATACAACTAAAAAGAAGGTAGGTAATTAACAAGCATATTGCATCATTAAAAACTTTAAATATTACGATAATTCAGTAAACTTACTTTAGCCGAAGACATTTCTTAGCCATTTCCCCCGCAGTCATCCAGGCGTCTGCCTCCATATCAGTTTCTTCATTGCTTGGGTACTGAATACGCAGAACGCACGGTTGTTGTTGCTTGAAACTTGCCTTAAATACTAAGTTTTAATAGCAGAACTAAAAAAACCAATGACATAATGAAAAAATTTTGTGAACAATCAGTTTATCTGTTTTAACTCATCTGGTTTCTGTTTTACGTCTGCGAATAATGCAACAACAAACTTGTTCAATAAATGTTGGAGCCAAAAAACGATTGGTGATCGAATCTTTGTTACGAATGCGACGTAGCAAACCACAGATCAACATATTTGATAGGTGTTCAGGAAGAGTTTTGAAGTAGCTAAATTAGCAATTTTTTGGTCAAGGGAGTATGTTTACAAGTAATAAGACATCAGCAAACGCGTTCGTAGCTTTTTCAATTTGAAGATAGAATTAGTTTTAATGGACGAAGATTAAATAAGTTGTAATTAAATGTCTACCTCATCAACATGGGAAATACATGAATGCTTGGTGCAAAACTGTTGCATGCACCCAACATCAACGTCCACGCTCGAATGCAGCTTGTTTTCACTCGGTTATTATATGTTTGATTACACAATTGAACAAATATTTCATCTCTCTGTTCAGGCATATCTATACCCTGCAATCATTAATAGAAAAGTAAGCTAAGATGTTCTTATCAAAACTCTTTATGCCACCTCATGTAAAGATTTGTAAATGATTAACGAACTAGAAGAAAAGCTGTTTTACCTTTTGAATAATGTATTTGCCCAAAATAGCAAGCTTTTCCTCACTCAATTGCGTATCGTTCAGATATCGAAGAATTAATTTAAATATAAGCAAAGCTTCTCTAAAATCTTCGTCATTGTCTTTTTGCAGAAACGGTGTTACGATCGGCTCTCTTCTAGCTCCAAGTAGATGGCCCTAAATAATTTAAGTTAAAAAAGCAAGAGTGTTGTAGAAGTCAAAGTCGCAACTGTGTAAAGTTACATGTACAATAGTCAGGTCAATCAGAATTTTTGTCCTACAGTAAAGTATGAAATTTAACCTTGAAGCAAGACTCAGCAAAATCTTCGATAGCAATAAGTCGTGGCAACTTAGGTATGTGACATTTTGCTGGCATTGGAATGTAGTGTGTTATGGATCGTGTTTTGAACATTTTAGGGTTTCTAATAATTGCCAGCTGCTTTTGAAGATCCTCGGGAAGATCAAGATATTGTACAAATGCTGCAGAATCTGTTGCTGGTGACGGCCCAACATCTGTAGTGTCACCAATTCTGCCACTTCTTCTAGTTTCATAGCCAATTTTCTGTATCATTTCTTCCCGTTTTGCCTTCACTTCCTTGCTGAAAATAAGCGGTTATCAAGATATATGCAGTAAAAATTTATCTTTGATCCTTTCAAAAATGCTTAGTAATGCGAATATCAATTTTTAAAAACCGAAATAGCTCTTTTTTTCGTTTCGTTTTTTACGAATGCCTGTCGTGTAAATGAGATGTGAACAAGCAAAAGATGCGAATCCTTTCAGCTTACCGAGCCTTCCAAGCGCGTAATCCCGACTGAAGCACCACTGCAGCATGGCGCTGTCTTTCGTAATTTTTTCTTGCTAAGAAGCCTCTTACCATCTTTTGAATAATGATTGCGGAACGTTCACGAATATTACTCCGAAGTTTTTCCAAATGCATGTACAGGTCATCTTTCAAGTGAATATTTGTTTTACCTCAAATATAATTTATTCTGTAGAAGCTGATATAAACTCTACCTTGATCAAAATTAAATGTACCGTAAAAATAGAAAACTGACAGCAGCAACACAAATAAAATATTGTTCAAAATTGGTTGTTCTACTTACCAAGAGCGTAACGTTCTTGGTATCTTACTCCTTGCTGTTCCAATATATCATTTACTTTTTCGTTGACATTTTGAAAATCGGTGGCTTCTTTAGGCAAAAGGCAAGCATACCTAAACCACGATTAGGTATTTAAAACAGCCATTTTGCAATTTTGAGTGCACTAAGGGTCATTTTTTTTCGTTATACTTCAATATTTTCAACAGCACCTTTTGGCAAAGCTTGTAACCTTCTGTCTGAAATTATAGCCATGTCGACTCATTTTCACTGTATCAAGCAGCGCGTAAGCCCTGATTTGTCGCATTACTGTCTGATCACAGAATTTTTCCGGTAATCGTTCACTGTTTGAACGAAAGCAGCGAATAAATTGACAGTGCGTCCTAAACTCATTTACTTTAGTTGCCTACAATACTGTCTAAATTGTTTGATTGCTGTATACAAAAAAGTACTACCTTGCCAGTGTAAATAATTACTATTTGCAATTCTAATCAAATGCTGACAAAAGCAACTTTCAAAAAAACCAGAGTAATATCTTTCTAATGACTCGAAACACTTAAGAGACAGTTTTTTTTAAGTAAAGTCAAATTACTAAACGATCCGTTCATACACTCGCTTTAGCTCACACAATTGCACTTTTTTTTATCAGACTCAGTTTGAAGTCTTTCCCTAAAGCTTTCGTAAGACAAGTAGCACAGTAATATAGTATACAAAAGTATCGACAATATAATTTATGAAACGGATCTTCCAGAAATAGACACTTAAAGTTTTATGTAAAAGGAAAAGCTCAAAAAGGCATGCCTGACTAATAGCAAACTTTATTTGAAATCTGCTAACGGATCAGTCTTTTAGGTACTATTTGAATTAAATAGCTTTCTTATAACGACAACTCTTTCATCTGTTCTACTAGTATCACAAAGACTTTTAAGCGACATATACAACCACAGCTATTCCAAAAAGCAGCAGGAAAAAAACAGATGTTATTTTAAATAGTATTTAAATTGAAGCGTGCATTAAATTAAAACTGAATGTTTCTTAAAACTGTTTCAACTTTACCGAACTTCAGTTTTTTTTGTTTGATATTACCTGTTAAGTTTTTCGACTAGTGCCTTAACTTTTTGACCAAAACCTTGAGCCACATATTCGTATTTTTCACCGGTAGACAACGGTTTGCCATTTAATGTAAAATTTTTGAATATTTGAGCCACTGACTGTAAATTTAATAATTTTTCAAATTTAGTACAAGGTTTTTTTTACGGGGAAAAAATTGAACGTTAAAGCATAAATGAAGCAGTTACTGTACCGCGTTTTGGCTTCCTGCCAGTAACTGGACTGCGCGACAACAGATCTGACGGCGATTCTTTTGAACGAAGTGATCAACGTTGTAGTAAGTGAAGCCGGCGTAGTGTTTGACAGCAAATTCTAAGCGATCTTTTGACCTCGCTTTGCCATAAACTCCATTTTCTGAATGATTTAGATCACATCTTCTCAGATACCCCTCATTTGATGCCTAAAAATAATTAATCTGCTTAAAGTAAGAAAACTAAAACACTCTCTCAATAGTAAAAGTTTTCTTATCATTACCAAGTTTTCTTCAAGATTTTTCCAATACCAGAAAAAGGGAAGTTTTCAGAAACAGTTTGCTGAAAAGGAACTGATACTTACTTTAGGAAATTTACATTCATCATCCAGCAAAAATACCAAACCATCTGGTCGTTTGAGCAATAAATCTAGGACACGTTTATTGTCAATCCACGATGGGACCTATAAATAAGGACTATAACCGCTATAAAAGCAGTATTGAGTAAGAGCCTAATGAACCTCAACCAAGCAATTAATGGCTTAAACACAGAGAATAGCTGCACAGTTTTCTTATACTGTATAAACATTGAATATTTTATAAAAAACTTCGTCGAATTATGATTTTATCTTATTTATCTTAATTATACCTGGTAATCCATCTTGATCATTTCTTCATCAAGCTCTTTTTGCACGTCTTTGAATACTTTTTTAACATAGAAGCTTTCAATACACTCGTTGACAATATTTACACACAAGTGTTCGTAGGCATTATTGTTGTATCGCTAAAAATGTAGAAATAGGCAAGTTGGTCTACGTAATGCTGTATGGAACTGGAGGGCGACAGTGACAAAGCATAGGTAAGACGGTTATGTAGTTAACCTTTGCCGGCTAAAATATGCCTCATCCCGAGTCATTCAAGAAATTGACGTTTAAAAAGCTACTTGTATGGCTCGGTAATAATGGCTGATTTAGTTAGGCATAAATTACTATACCTCAAAACCGTAGTAATCTAGTAAGCTTATAACACCAGAATGATTGGTACATCCGTAGTCGTTCGCAATAAGCGATATGATCCATTGTACGAGAGAATTATAAATGACTTGAGCAATCGAATCACTAAAAATTACTCTTATTATGCCTTCTAAATAAAGTAAAATAGTAGCCAAATTGGTTATCAGGCGTTTACCGCATATCTAGGGCTTGATCCAGAGTTAATGGTACTGTCGTTGGTTCTTCTCCAGTTGTCTGCAAAAAATACCTTTAAATTACCTTTAACTCAAGAAAATAAAATTATATCTTTAAAATTTTGGAAGATATTCAAAAAATAACGCACTTTCTTTTTTAGAAAAAGTGATCTCCATTCATCAATATCAATTTCAAGAAGATATGCAGTCCATTTTATTTCGGCTTCATTAGCAATTTCTACCTTTGCAGCCTCATCGTCTTCTCCCTGACTCTAAATTTGCCTTAATTTTAGTATGGTTCTTCAGGAGATGTTAAAATTCAGAATCGAACCAGTTGCAGGGTTGAAAGTTACGAACCTTTTTTGCCGTAAAGAATAGATTGCCCAGATGTAATATTGCGGCCAGAATTCTAAAAATAAATGTTTGTTGGTCATCGGACATGTCTAATGCTTTGAATGCGTTCTGCAAGTTGGCAAATTTCTCCTGCTCAGCAGCCTCGTTATCTATTGAACATCTTCCCTGCAAAAGCTTCACCTTAAAAAAGGTTGCATTTTAGATCTAAAATTTCTAAAGTTTTTCAGCAACTGTAAACTTAATTACTTCAAGGCAAGCAACAATTTTAATTGTAGATGCAGTTCTTAAGAAAGGTAGCAAACAACCAGAAGTAACGTTGCGCTTGATGGAAAAATTTGAATTGAATAGTAATAAAATCTTCAATCATTTTTTGACTATAAGTTTACCAAGAAGTATTAAATAAATTAGAGAAGGTTAAAAGGTGACAAACCAGATTGAGGTAGAAGTATTTTTGTGCTTCTTTTAAGCCAAATTTACGCCGCAACTCGGGGCTAAGACCAGCACATAGATGGTAAAATATTTCAAAATTTTTTTCTCCCTGTCGTTGTGACACAAGCCGTACTAGCTCTAAAGGAAGCAATAACTTTGGTGCAAAGCCATAGATTGATCCACTGAAAAAAAGAAATAAAAAAATTTTTTCTCGAGCATTAATATGTCAGATTGAACCGGAATGAATAAAGAATCATGATGCAACGCCTAATTGTTTTATTTTTTTGAATAATTTAACAAAATAATGATAATAAGTAAGAAATCTATAAATGTAATCAGTAAAAAAAAGCACAATCTAGCTCAAGTTAAAAAAACAGGCTTACTTCTTAGTCATTAGATCAAGAGAGTAACCAATTCTTGTTGCGCGGTCATTTTTTCTTGTTTTGGCACCGCAAAATGCATGTATCAGTGTTGTCAGTGCTTCAACCTAAATTTAACCCTTAGCATACGATTTTTTAATTATGTTTGATTGAATGTTTGAACAAATAAATTTGTGCATTGGTGACCTCTGGTAACAAACCTTTTCAACGGTAACAGATGACTGAGCTTCAGATGAGCCAACAATAAATCGAGCAGCTTGCAATAAGTTTGTGCTTTTTCCAGAGCCAGATTCACCACTTAAAATTTACTATCAAGTCAATTTTAAGGATATATTCTGCTTGGTTGCCACATTAGCACGGTTCAATTTTACTTTGGTAAATACAGTTCAACCGTAAGCATGTACTATTTCTGAGAACTTTTTACTGGGGTGATCAGCTTGCTTATGCTATTGTCAGTAGCCGGTGTTCCTCGGAAAACTGATAAATCAATAAAGTGACAAATTAGAATTTAGACAAAAAAATTTTGAGTTTTCAACTTTTTGAAGGCTACAATGCTTCTGAACGTTTTTAAATAAAAAAGGCTTTGAAAATATATTAATAAATGTGGTAACAGTGCAAAAGATTTTAAGTATGTTACAATTGTTAAGAACAAAGCTGTAATGTGAATCTCAGTTTTTTCTTAAAAGTGTATTGTAGAACGAAGATAAAAGTCTATTTAAATTTGCTATAATTACATTATAATTATACCATAAACTTAAAGAACGTAAACTTTTGTATTAGCAGACCTTAGAAACTTAAAAGTTGCTGTAGACATTACACATTACCGGTCTTGAATATATAAATGTGCTTCTGCAAAATGTTGTAAAATTGCAAAAAAAAAAAATGACTAAAATTGAACAGTGCTAACGTGACATCCAAATTATTAATTTTTATAACCTTACTACAACTAATGCCCAGACTAGTTTAGACAAAATTTTGTAAACTTTTGAAAAACATAATTGAATTATTCAGTCAGAAAAAGTTGATTTGTGAAATTGTTTCGCTCAATGATACAAAGAAAATTAATAATTATTTATCTTAGTTGATAATAATGTTATATAATATATCATCACATATCAGACTTATGAGTTAAAAAATATACCAAAAAAAAAATGTGGTAAAAGTAATTGTTAATCTTTTTTTTTTTTTTT